CATTCAACAGTAATGTAAATATATAATTAAAATATATCTTAAGTAAACTGTATCTGTAAACTGTAAACTGTACTAAACTGTATCTTAACGTAAATTAATATTATCTAAACATAATTAAAATGTAGCTTAGGTGTAAATAAATAATATCTTAATGTGAATAAAATAAATCATTTGCTTATCGTTGAGAATTTACATACTTGTCCAAAAGCGTCACTTTTGGACGCCACTGCTTCACTAGCCTGTCCATAGCTTCGTTTCTTTGTTGAGCCTTTTCTATCAGCGCAGATTTTTTTAATTTTAGCTTCTCGCTGTAGTAGCGGTAGAGCTGAACTTTTGCATCTGCGTACTATACCTCAGCTGTTTCCTGATGAAATTGGTGTTGGTGAAGATGATGACGACTTGGCAACAGACATTGGCGGTAGTAAGGAAGATGAAGCAGTTGGGTCGGAAATTGTATCCACCTGTAAAACTGCTTTATTAGAATAGAGTATCACATTTACTCTTTCAAATTCAACATGGAGGGTGTAATTGTTTCGCATTTTTCATGTCTTCCTTGCCATCATGTCTTCCTTGCCATATAGAAAATCAAAAAAATAAATGGTCTCATTATTAGTCCATCGTTTCCGGACTGTAACTATAGAACTGCAATTAGAAATAGATAAAAAGAAATTTCATGTAAATAGGTTTTGGTAAATGGTAAAAGTGTATGCAGTAATTGTTTAAATTTAGTGAGGCATTTAGGCAATACAAGATTGTGAATAAATTCGTTTATATAATTTTCAAACTTATAATATTACTAGTTATTGCTAAATGAGCAGTATTTAATACGGCATTTCCACTGGCTTCAAATGGCTCATTTTTGTAAAAATCGAAAAATGAGAAGCGCGAATAAGATCCATTGCATCACATTCTATATGAATGCGTTCCAACGAAGGTTGAATGCGTTCCAAATATGTTCTAAATGCAAAGTAATTCATTGAACATACCTTAATTAAAACCTTTTCATAGCATTTTGACAGTTTGAGAAAGCTGTTTTTGAGATAATTGCAAAAAATGGTAGACAAATGTTTGGTGGTTACATTTTCTTGAAAACAATGCACCTCTTTTTAGAACTTCTACTTCTCAAAAAGTACTTAATCGAAGTTAAAAATATGTTTTCAGTTTTTTTTTTTTTTGTATTTATTCATGTATTACATGTTTTAATGAACACAAAAATTAAAAATTCATTAATAAATAATTAACTTCTTCACAACTACTAACTTGTCAATAATTTTCACAAATTTTATTTAAAAAAATCAAGTTTTTAAAATATTTAAAGTAACTCATTAACACTCGCAACAATTGTAAATATTAAACAGCTGACTACAGTTTTCGATTTTCTTCCAAAAATCAGTTTTAGGATTTGACATCATTATAGTGCAGGGACTTATTCGTATTCGTATTCGCATTTTGTTTTCGCTTTATATGTTTATTTTTAAGCACCCCATGTTTTTTTGGAGCGATTATGTCAAAAGAATACATCTTCTATAGAACTGCTACATCTATTTGTTTTTAACTTCGGGTACGTTCAGTGAAGATTGCAATATGTGGTTATTCCTTATTGAATCTCTTCGTTTAATACCATATATATTATTTACCCTTTCTTCAGAACTTTGATAAATGGTGTGATGTAGTTATATTCCACCCTTCTCCGCTCCTTCGTATATTGTTGCTACGTTAATTGTGTCTTTCAAATTTGATGCTTTTCTTTCCAATAGACAATTTTTTTTGATTATTTAAACCAAAAACAAATTGACTTCGCAGTGCAGTCTCTAAATATGTTTCGAAATTGCAAAGTACTGCCAATTTAGGCAGTTCCAAAACAAATTTTTTCTGCTTTTTGTTTTTCCAACTGAAAACGGTAATTTTTTATAATTCATCTCTCGGAACAGCCGAACTCACATTTGGCAGAATTCACTGTCCAACCTGCCTCTCTAAGTCGATCCAAAACCAACCGCAAATGCATTCCATGTTCTGCTTCATCTTTTGACGCAATTAGAATATCGTCGATGTACGCAAACACGAAATCACCCAGAGACTCATTCATAAAACGCTGAAACATCTGGACCGCACTACGGAAACCGAAACACAAACAGGCCAAATGGAGTTGTAATCACTGTCTTTGGGATGTCTGCTGGTGAGAGCGGTATCTAATGATACGCTTTCTGCAAGTCTATCTTCGAAAACACGCTTTTGCCATGAAGAATGCACGTCACATCGTAAATGAACGGAATCGGATAACGGTCAGGTTTAGTTTTCAATTTCCATCGCTTTTGGAAACCATGTGAACAGCTTTTCGAAGGTTGACAAATCCCTATCTGGACTAAAAATTGGAATTCCTTTTTAGCTTCTTCTTCCGTGTGGTGGCGGGATAAGAATACCACCTCAGTATGTCTAAAAGGCGACTAAAAGAGAAAATGCACAGGTTAAAGTAGAACTTCTACGATTCCTGGTAAGTCGTGAGGGCGCACAGGTCAAAGTAGCTTGCTACGACTCCTAATAAGACGACCCTTCTGCTAGCAGGTCGGTCCGACATTTGCTCAGGCCCTGTTAAGTTGACCAGCCTTCGGGAAGTACGACTATCTATCAGGTCAACTGTCAAGCGATAAGTACGGTCATGTCTCTGCTTATCGTTTGACGCAGATAGTCGGGCGGGGTGAAGGAAAACACCCTTTTAGTGAATGAGCAGTGAGAATGATTGTATGAATGTGTGAATAAATGGATTGTGTGTATTAGAAATAAAACCCCCCAAACTAAGGTGGAACAGCTACGCGTTTAGCTTGGCTGCTGGGGTAGAAGCAGTCTTAGTAGCGAACTCAGGACACCTGGCGACCTCCTGTTTTAAACAGCCTTACCTGTGCAATGCGAAGCTCTCCGCAGGTGGACATATTTCTCTTCGCAACTCGTGGGAATCAAAATTGACGAACAAATTTTAAATATACCAACTCAAGGCGAAGTGGTTGACGCTGATAAGGTGGACAATGAGGCCTCACAGGCCGAGCTGATAGCCTTAGTTTCAGATACCACAACGCATGACGGTCATGAGACCAACAAAATGGTGGACGAAGAAGCCCCGCAAGAGACTGAGCCGTTAACCAAAATAGTTGGAAACATGACAACGACTGATCTCGACTTGGCCGAGCGTATCCGTCTGAACAAGAGGAAGAAGCAGAAGCGAAGAAGAGAGAGGCAAAAGGCTGCAAAAGCCACAAAATCGGTTGAACAACTAGCCGATCAACTCAGCAGACTATCGCATGTGGAATCATCGCTGCAGGAACAGCTAGCAAAGAGGTATAAGGGCGGATGCCCTGAAGCTCCGACAGCAAGCTCAACTCCGTCAGCTAGAATCACAGGGGATAACTCTGATGGTGGCCAACCAGTAAAGGATGTCAGCCAAGCTGAATCGACAGTCAAAGATCCAACCAGTGCGCGAGGTAGAGTACCTTATCAGGCACTCAACCGACCCGCATTTGTTGGTAAAACGACTGTTGGTCGGCGTGGTGGACGACCTTTAGCGGCTGATAACCAGAAGAGAACGCAAAACGGAACTGGGGTTAAAAAAGGCGGACAACCCATACAGGGTGTTAACCAACCAAAACAAGGCAGACAACTTATAACTGTTGTTAACCAAGTGGGGCCCCAGACCAGTACAGCCGACCATCTACCTAGCACAAGTAAGGCTGCAAATAAACAGAATTACGACAAGCGGGCAGTAGGAGACGCAAAGGATGGCCCTGCCCATAAGAGGTCCTATGTCCAGTTCGCTGGGACGGATCTCAATATGGGCATCACCGATTCAAGAGTCGAAGGACCTCTTGGCGAGAAACACTTAGTTGCTTTTAAAGCATCGTTGTTGAACGCCGTAGAAGTCCTTAAATGGCGGAATATGTGACATAGGGTTTGTTGGCAACGCTCGCCTTGAGGATGGGTACATTACCATTAAGTGTAAGAACCAACAATCAAAGGCATGGCTAATCAGCGCGGTAACTAAGTCGGAAGGCATTTGGCCGGAAGCTAAGCTGACGGCTGATACTCTAAGAGCGTTGCGCAACAAAAGGATATTACTTATATTAGTGTACGACTCTACCGTAAACAAGGAAAGTATTCTTAGCAGACTGCAGAAGTAAAACAGCTGTGTTAAGGACACTTCGAAGTGGAGGGTTACTAACTTCAATGAGTTTGGCGAAGCGAGCAGCGCTGGCGTCAGGCTCACAGTGTGGTGCCCGAAAGAAGACGCGGAGGCGATTAAGACTGCAGGGGGTAGTCTCAACTGTGGTCTTGATCAAGCCAAAGTGAAATTCTAAAGGGATGCACGACGAGCAAGACAATGCCTCTGGTATGGGGGCATTGTACACAGCCCTAATGGTCTGTGTAGACCGTTAGGGAGGCGGGTGGGCCCATACCAGAAAAACATAAAGGTTGAACAACTGAATATTCATCACAGTAAAGCAGCATCAGCAATGATCCTGCGACACTTTGACGAAGAAAAGTTGGACATACTACTGATTCAAGAGCCCTGGATTGTTCAAAACGCTATTAAGGGACTTGGTACATCAGTTGCCACGCTGTTCTTTCCGCAGGCAGCTGGTAAAATAAGGACATGCATAATGCTGAGGAAGGGGATACAATACATCCAATTGCCTCATCTATGCTCACCAGATCTTACTACCTTTATCGTGGCGTCAGCCTATCTACCATACGACTCTACTGAACCACCTCGCAGTCAGGAGGTAATCAGACTGATGGAGTATTGTAGGACGAAAATTCTAGAAATTGTCATAGGATGTGATGCGAACGCACACAACATTGTGTGGGGTAGCAGCGATAGTAACAACAGAGGGGAATCTCTCCTCGAGTTTGTTGAAAAATACAATCTGATGATTGTAAACAGGGGGTTAGAACCTACCTTCGTTGACGCACTAAGGTCAGAAGTTATTGACCTAACCCTGTGCTCAGGCGCAATGACACAGAAAATTGAGAAATGGAAGGTCGCTGATAGACTAACAATGTCGGATCATCGGGCTATACACTTCGAAATACTCTGTCGTCCGAAACGCACTAATAGTCAGAGGCTAGTAAGAATTCCTGAGAATACGGATCAGGTAACGTACTTGACGTTGTTGACGGAATTATTACAAAACAGGCTGCTGAAGAAACTCAAGACCACATGGAATGTAGAGACAGAAGTCAAAGCAATTACTGCTGCGATGATTAATGCATTCGAAAACGCTTGTCCCCAAACCAGCATTGCAGAAAAGTCTTCGACACCTTGGTGGAGTCAGGATCTTGATGTAATAAAAAAGGAGACAAGGAAAGCCTTTAATAAATACATGAGGGAGAAGAACTCCGAATCATGGGACCTGTATAAGGCCAAAAAGCGTGAATTTAAGAAAACACTACGCAACCGGAAACGGGAGTCGTGGCGGAATTTCTGTTCGAGCATGAAGGGGACCTCTGAACTAAATCGGTTACAAAAGATGGTCACCAAAGATCCGGTCTCAAGACTTGGTTTAATCCGAAAGAAGGATGGTACAATGACGGAGACAGTAGGTGAGTCATTGAGTACTCTCATGGAGATTCATTTTCCAGGAAGTTTCAAAGAGAGATCCACAGAGACTGCCCTGCACGAAGTCGTGAGGATAGCTGAGAGATAGCTGACTTCAGGAGGCATTTCGATGGCCATCATGATGGACATCGAAGGAGCCTTTGACAAAGTAAGCTTTGATAAATTAAAATCTGCTCTAGCTGACCGAGAAGTCGGTTCACTCATTATTGGATGGATAGATTTCATATTAAGGCAAGGAGCAGTAAACCTACAAAATGGAAGACATAGTCTGAGAGGCAGAACAGTCAGAGGCTGCCCACAGGGAGGGGTGCTTTCACCATTTCTGTGGAACGTGACCATAGACTCTCTATTTCAACAGCTTGACTTCAAAGGCATACAAACAATTGGGTATGCGGACGATATAGCACTGATGGTGAATGGCAAGTTCCCAGACACCATTAGAAACGTGATGAGAGGTGCTCTCAAATGCGTCAAAAAATGGTGTAGGGAACAAGGCCTGGCCATCAATGCAACGAAATCAGACACTATCCTCTTCACGAGGAAGAGAAGTCTGTCAATGGAGCCTTTACAACTTTTTGATAATAACATTCGCATATCAAAGTCGGTGAAGTATCTAGGTGTTGTCCTAGATAATAAACTGACTTGGAATGAACATGTGGATGAAAAGATCAGGAAAGCGAAGAGAGCTCTATTTCAATGTAAGAGAGTGTGCGGAAGACGATGGGGGATATCCCCAAAATCGATGCACTGGATCTATACGATGATGGTCAGACCTATTATAACATATGTGTCAGTTGTCTGGTGGTGTAAAGTCACCCAAAAGACAATAAAGACGAAGTTAGATAGAGTCCAGCGACTAGCCTGTGTTGGAATAACAGGCGCTATGCGAACTACACCAACACCGGCATTAGAGGCAATGCTAGGCTTGCTTCCGTTGGATTTACATATAAAGAAAACGGTGGCACTGGCAGCAATTCGCATGAACCGGAGCTCCACGTGAAACAACTTCGGAAAATTAGTGGGTCATCGTAATATTCTTGATCTCGTCCAGGCCGCGGTCAAGGAAACGCAGATGCCATTGGAGACTATGAGGAGGGTTTATGGGACAGAAGTGTACTATAGAACACTGATAGTAGACGGCCTTCTACATAATGAATGTGAAAGGAATGACATATGCATATTTACCGATGGCTCCTTAATGGATGGCAGAGTTGGTGCTGGGGTTTACTCGAAAGAGCTAAATCTAACGTGCACTCTACATCTAGGAAGATATGTTTCCGTCTATCAAGCGGAACTTATGGCGGTCTCACATATTCTGGATCACCTATTGGATTGTCAGGTATATCAGAAAAAGATTCTGATAGCGCTGGACAACCAAGCAGTTATCAAAAGCATGCAAAAGACATACATAACTAACAGCTTAGTACAAGAATGTGTAACGAAGCTCATGGAATGTGCTCATGGAAATGAGGTGACGATCATGTGGGTTAAAGGACACATCAGTATTGAGCAAAACGAGAAGACAGATGAACTTGCAAAGCAAGGATCAAGCCATAATTTCTGTGGCCCACAGAACAGTATATAAGTATATGTATATAAGTAGATAACATCACTTCATCTTAATAGATGGAGAGAGTTGAGCACTTGTAGACAGACCAAACTCATGTTACCTAAACCGTGGGCCAGAGAAGCGATAAAAGTGCTTAGCTATTCGCGGAGCACTCTAAGCTGGCTGACCTCACTAATTACTGGACATGGCAACTTCAAGTATCACCTCAAAAAGATAACTCTTGCTGAGGAAGACACTTGCAGACTATGTCTAGAAGAAAAGGAGACAGCGGTGCATATATTGTGCCAATGTCCAGCACTGGCAAGTAGGAGGAAGACTGTCTTGGGACACCATTGGGTTGGTGACGACTTGGCAGGAAACCTCAAGCTAAATGAGATGCTTGCATTAACAAAAGATGTAGTTATGCGAACGGAAGCCACTCCAGCTTTAACTCAATAACAACATCCGAGAATCGAAGGACGAAAAAGGACCCAAGTCGTTTCGTGGTCTACTTCGACTAATCCTTCACTTCAGTGGGGCCACTTGTTGGACAGTGCGCTGTCCCAACGTCCCACCATATATATAGCTTCTTCAAGTTTGGCTCCAACTAAACGCCGGGGACGAGTAAATGACGGCGCGCCAAATGTCTCAATGCAATGTTACTATGTAACGACCCTTTCTTGCAGTCGTTGCTTATTTGCTGAGGTATGCTCAGTCTCACCAGCGTCGTCACAATAAATTTATAGATTGTGACCAAAATATTCAAAGTGTTGTGGTTTTATTTCAAATTCTTTATTTACGTAATGCTTTATTTCGGAATTTATAAATTTTAAATTTATTTTTAATATAGGAAAACAAATTAACTTTTGTTTCAAAGAAAATAAAATAAATATATATATGTATATGTCGACACAGTCGACAAAATTTGAATATGTAATTTTTTTGGTTTCGAAAGGGTAAAAATTTAATAATTAAATAAAGATGTCTTTTGAGAAGTTTCAGTTCTTGAATGTCCTTGACAGATCTTCCTCCTTTAAGCCCTTGGTTTTGTATTCTTCTGACTTTATCTAAAAGTGCGGGATTTATTAGTGAGATTATTCTGGATCTTGTAGAATTACTTTATATACTGTCGGCGGTCTCCTTTGCGTATTACAGAGAATTACTTTCGACACAGTCGACATGATACCACCTGTCGTATCTCAGTATTTCCTAGCAATTATTCCTTCCTTGGGATATTTTTTATATAAAATATCCCTATAAATATATTAATTTTGGAAATTATTTTGGACACAGTCGACGTGAAACCACCTGTCGTGTCTTAATAATTATTATACCTTGACTTAGATATTTTTTTCATATAAAATATCCTTATGTATTTTAATTTTGGCAACTATTTTGGACCCAGTCGACGTGAAACCACCTGTCGTGTCTTAATACTTATTATGCCTTTGTGCATCTAGAGCTCAGTTGACTTGGTATTCCAAGGTGTATGTGCCTTTGAAATTATAAACCAAAGTCTTCGCATAAGTAAAATGCGCGTCTTATATACACACTCGACCGAGCTTTTGTGTAGCGTATCATTTTATTTACAGCTGATCTCACGTAATTCTTGTTTAATTTTTGCCGTTCTGATTTTCTATTTCATGTTTGTGAGGTACTTGAGCTTGTGCATTTAACTTCTCTTTAAGCTTCTCTTACGGCGAATATTTTTGGCAGTTCTTGTTTTCTTATGTTAACGCCGCTTTGTTTTGATTCTTACAAAACGTGTTTTAAGACTACATTCGGTCGGTGGTGGTTTTTATTTATTTTGTTTGTAACGATAAATAAAATGCAAATATTCATCAAATTTAAAAAAATAAAAATAAGAAATATAATTAACAATAAATAAGGTGAGTTTATTATTCACATTTATTTAACCATATATTTATATTTCATTTCAATATCATTTCAGATTAGTTTAAGGTGTTATTAAAACTTGCAAGCGGTTTGGGTTTTGGTAAATTGTTTTGAATAAATATTTTAAATATTAATTAATCTATTTAATTTCAGATATTTGCAACATTTATTACCAGTGAGTCCACTTTTCCCAAGTTTAAATATAAATATATAAAGTGTATTGTTTTATAAAAAACTGTGTTGTATTGTTGTGTTTTAGTTCGTGTTGTTATTGTTTTTAGTGCACGTTTATGTAGCGTTTATGTAGGTGGAAATTTAGTGTAAATTTCCATCCTTACAACTAAATCCATCTGATTTGCACTCATAGTGCCTAAATCACGATATTCATTTACCAGTTCGGCATAGGCTGAAACTGAGTCACACACACGCACAGTTTCTTCTTGTGACACAGCAGTTTTACCCCTAATCACCAAAGTCGTCTTAGAATCAACATTTCAAGTCCATCAACAAGTCGTAGTGTTAAAGAAAGTCGGCTCCAACAATAGGACAGCTAACATCCGCATACACGAACGTCCAAGCGTTCGTCTTTGTTCGTCGAACGTCTTTGCTTCGAGTCCCTTTTGGGCTCGACGAAATAGAAGTTAAGGTCTGCTAATTTCGCTAGTTCCGCCAGTGCCACATTTGATGCCTACAGAATAGCACGCACTTGTGGTGGCAAACGCTGCAGGCAAAGAGTCTAAAGGAACTCATCGCTCACCTTGTCTTTAGCTAACGCCTGCAACTCCATCAGCAACCGTGTTGGCCGTCTGTCACCAAGTTCAACCTCTGACAGCAACCGTTGAATCTTACGTTGCTCGCTCTTACTGTAGCGTTCTATAGTCCGGGCCTTCAAATTGGTGTATTTTCCAGTTGCAGGAGGATGAACCACCGCATTACTTACATCGGCCACGATACTTGTCTCAATTGCTGCAACCACCGTGTTAAACCGGATAACGTCATTCGAGATGTCAGATACTGCGAATTGCGCCTCGATCTGAGGAAACCAAATCTCCGGTCGCTCGTTTCAAAACGGCGACGCTTTCTTCGTAAGTTTTTTGATCCTCTACAAGTTGGCGATGATTACCACATTCAAATGAACCACGAGCTGTAGGTTCTTTATCACGACATTAATATCATTCAGCGGATTAGCATCTAGCTTGGTCTTGTCGTGAAAAAGGATGATAAAAAAGGTGTTTGAAACAGTAGTTGGAGGAGGAAGGCATAGAGGTAGAGCCTGTCTCCAGTGGAACGTGAGGTAGCACTAACTAGATTTGATGTACGAGACTGGAGAAGGCGCGCAAGTTAAGGATTGATCTTAACTTAGTGCGTAAGGAAGAAAATAAAATAATACACCAGACGTTGTGTACGATTCAAATGACAAATTTATTCTGAGTGAAACTTTCTTTAATACAATTTTATATAGCCAAAAATATAATAATTAGGAAATATTTAACATTAGAATAATTAATATTGTGACCCAAAAATAATTTATTGCATATAAACAAAATTCCACTTGAATATTCGTTGCACTTTCCTAAACATTTCATAGGAATGCAACGTATTGTTTGTTGTAGAAATTCGTAAGTGGGTTACTTTCGAAATTT